TGAACCTTCATCAGCAGGAGGATAACCAGCAGTTTGGTCCATGAACGCCTGCAGGGAACCAACTTCCTGTTGCTTTAAACGAAGCAACTGGAAAAATCTGAGCTTATTGATCAACTTCCTGCGTGCGACTTTACTTCTGCTCCAAATATCAATGAATAAGGAGCAGAAAGAAATACTTTAATTATTGTTTTTAGATAAACTGGAATCAGCCAGAGATCCAAACATCCCAGTTCAGTTAGTAAAGAAGCCAAACTAGAACATAAGGAGCTGAAGTATAGTGGGTCTATATGTAGCTTTACTTGGTGACTAACGTAACAAATGAAAGACCACCATCCTCCACCCAGAGAGATCTGGTCATGATGTCATCAGTAACCGTGGGAGACGCCATGTTTCATTGTTTGTCCCAGACTGTGCAGCTTTATTTCTCTGCAGGACTAGGGGATTACAGTCCAATCCAAGACCCCCACCAAACCCCTCCCCTCGCTGTCATTCACACAGACCCCCCCCCCTCCTTCACTGTCCCCTTCTCTTGTCTTGGAAACATGTGAGGTCCCTAAGTGGAGGAAAGGAGGCCATTATCTTCCCTCCGTATGTTCTCCTCTACTAATGAGTAGAAAACTGTAGCCTCCTCTGATTAACAACAATAACCCCCATCAAACAATCAGAACTCAAAATGAAATGCGCCCCCTGGTGGCGATAAACACAGGAAAGGACAAATGGCTCCTACACCATCTCTGAGGAAATTATCTGAAGTCTTTCTTCTTTAAACGTTAAACAGCAATCCCATTCAGACAGACAGGATTGCCACGGCTTAGAAGGTTTTTCTGTTCATAGGTGGCGACTCTCGCTACCTGATCCGTCCCGGAAGAACCATCCGTCCTGCGCAGCCAGAACAGAATAACTTCATAACTTCCGGGTGGCAATTTCTTACTTTTTAATTCATTGGTCTTTTTCTGGCAGGAAGTTCCTTTTCAGTATTTTAGTATTTGCGTAAATATTTCTTTTTCTAAAAACAAAGCAAAGCACTTAAACAGCGTTTGAAATGTTCCTGCTCTGAACATGTCTGACGACGACTTCTCGCAATACGATCAGGAGAATGGAAAACGTTTCCATTTCTTCCCGAAAAGTCTTCAGTTTTTCTATACAATGTAGTTTAGCATTCTTTAATGTTTTAAGTATATAAATAAGTATTTTCAGTGACGTTATTACGTAGTTTTTGTTCAATCCCGATCTTATTGTTCGTTTTGCGCTGCGCGAGACGGATCGCAGATTGGGGTGTAAAAAACGGTGCCACAAATGAAAACCACATGTTGCGTCGCCAACTTTGTTTACGGCAATCTAAAGGGGACAAACTTATTAGCCTTACATGTTGTACCTCTATTTGGACAAATATTGTCAGTGGAGGAGGGGTTACCCCCCGCCCCCATTGCTAAACCCACGTAGCATCTCCAGACCTCCTGGATTAACGCACAGCCTACTGAGTCTATAGTAGATTAAGTTGACCAGATTTATAAAATCTAATCTGAAGACATTTCCAACTCGTAGATTAAAATAAATTCCTATCATGAAAATTAAACTAGGAAACAGGAACAGTGATGCTTTCATCCATTTTTATATATTTATTAATATTTAAAGCTACAGTGTGTAATTTTCAGCGACATCTAGCGGTCAGAC